TCACGTGAACAGCACATGGCACCTCACAGCTTATGAAAAATTACAGTAGGTTGATTGGATTATATAAACTAAATGTATTAATCCAAATTTATATAATTGTTATTGCCATGAGACAGGGGGCTAATACACACCTTCTGTTTCTCCTTCTGCTTCTGAGTCTTGAGGTTCATTATCTGGATGTTCCTCAGGTTCTTTCTCGAGTTGTTGTTGGTTTGTCTCTGCCTCATCTTGGCGACCTTACACTCGCCCCTCCATTTGGGACATGTCCGGTCAGAGGAGGAGTGAGGACCGCCACAGGCTGATTATTTATTTTTCTTATTCTTGCAGTTCTTCTACTGGTGTCCAGAGGAGCGCATCTGGAACACACGTCCTCTGGAGCCTTGCATTGTCTTGACTTGTGGCCGTACCTCTTGTACGTGTAGCACCTGATTGGCCTCTGTTCGTAGGGCTTCACTGGGACACACGAGACTGCGCCTAAGGTACAGGTACAGTCACCCAAGAAAGTCCTGTCGCGAACCATGAACCCCGAGATTCAGACTCGTGAACCCGAAGCAGTAGACACTGATACATTATTCTGTCCATAAATGCTTCGGATTCAAGAGTCTGAATCTCGGGGTTCATGGTTCGCTACAGGACTTTTTTGGGTGACTGTACCTATAGGAGTACATCACCACCCCTGAGCCTAGCCACCCGACTCTCACACCCTCTCTCACTACACCCTCACTTACCCTACAACCTTCTCCTACAGGTCCTCGTCCCTCCCTGACCAGGCCTGGCACTTGACATAATTAGGGACCTTTCGCGCTTTGCCATAAATAGATGAATTGTCCCGGGAACTCCCTACATACACACTCACTATGTCACTATGTATATAACTTGCTGACAAAACACATGGCCCTTCAGCCACTGGCGTCCTTAACGAGTCACGAAGGAAAGCATGAACTCCGCATGCTTCCCTATTGAGCGCCGTAAACGCTTTTGCGCTTCGCCTTGCACATGATGCAAGGGGATGCCCAATAAACTAGCCCCCTCGCTGCAAATCTGATATCCCGACTTAACGAGACAGCACCTGTCGGCCACGTCCTTTAGTCATTGACACCTGGATTAAAAAAAAAAAAAAACACATGTGACCGCTGCAGGACCCAGGTGACTCCAGCGACCCCATGAGTTCTATGTGTGTGTGTGTGTATATATGGTATGGTCGGTAACCTCCCCACTTGAGAACTGAACCTCGGCGAGGTAGGTTCTCCCTGCTCCCGAGATAACGCGTGACCATGTTCACCTTTGATCAGGCGAAGGTCGTTAGACTGATTCCGGTCAAGCACCCTTCGCGCAAGGAACTCAATCTCCTTGTCATGAGAAAGTTTTTTGACTACTTCGCAATCACGGGGGTGACAGGGGTCGTCCGCAGTAACAACGGTGGCCTTATCGTCACCTTCGCGGAGTGGGGAGAGGCCCAGCAATTGAAAAACGTAAGAAGAATCAATGGAGTCGACATCATAGCTGAAGCCTGCCTTCAGGACAACTTGGTTTTGGGAGTCATTTCCCACACAGAAATCGAACATCTCGAAAAACAAGAACTTGCTGAGCTGATCGGAGATCAGCTCTCAATAGTTAGGAAGCTGACCAGCACCGCTGCCCTGGTTGGCTCCCCTAAGGAACTTCCTAGCTCCGTTTTACTGGGTTGGGAGAAAATCCCAGTAAAACCGTACCAGCAAAGACCTACTCGTTGCTACAAATGCCAGAAGTACGGCCATCTGGCGCGGAAGTGTCGTGCTCGGGAGGTGTGTTCAAGCTGCGGGACACCCGGCCACATTGACGCTAACTGCCTGGCGGCCGCGAAGAAGTGCGCAGCTTGTGGTGGCCCTCACTCCTCCGACCGGGAGTGTCCCAAGTGGAGGGAGGAGTGCAGGGTGGCCAAGCTGCGGGCTAAAGAAAAACTGAGCTACAAGGAGGCCCTCCTTGTAGTGAAAAATCAAGAAAAGAAAAAGCAAGACAAGAACAAACAAGACAAGAACAAGCAAGACAAGAACAAGATCAAGGAACCCGATTTCATTACACTATCTTTAACATCGCTTATTGACGTGTATGAGAATATCCCAGAAGGAGACCAGAAAGAAGAAGACCAGAAAGAGGAAGACCAGGAAGAAGAAGAATGGAAAGTGAAAAGCAAAAGAAGAAACAAGAAAAGAAAGAAATCCAACCAATCAGCTTCGGCCGAAATAGCCTAACGGCGAAGAGGCCAGTAATCCCCAACAACTTTGACTTTAACCTCCCCTAGTCCCACGCAGTAGGTCGAGGGTTCGAGTCCTGGCTGGTGAGGTAGTTGATTATATGTTCAAAGTCCGCGTGTTATATGGACTAAAAATGAAGTATATATATTACAGATTTTACAGATTGCCCCGGAGGGGGCTAGTTTATTGGGCACCCCCCTTACATCCTATGCAAGGTGAAGCGCAGAAGCGTTTACAGTGCCCAATATATATTATTGTTCAATATTTTCTTTTCAATCTTGTGAAAGAGAACATTGTACTGGGAGGTAGAAAGGGTGGTCGAGCAGCTGCCTGGGAGTGATTTAATAATGCCTGCCTGACTGGGATGTACAGTATAAATCTTTCCCTCGGTGTTTACTTTCTCCATCACGGTCCACTTCCTCGTATGACTTAGCCGTTGAATGTTATGCTAAACATTTATAATATTATAAGATACAATAAAGTAACACACAACCATGGGGGGGGGGGGAGGACAGTGATTGTTATTTTGTCATGCTTCCCCGAGTTATGCTAGAGACTCTCAGTTGATTGAAAATACCCAAAGGAGGGAGGGTGGTGTCTGCACTACGGCACCTCAGGCACCCATGGAGATTAGAACTCCAGCAGTTGCCTAGATTATACATGCGCTAGTAAGAAGTGACTTAACAGAAGGCTAAAAACACCTCCACCAGGAATCACAGGTTAAGGTTGAAGAAGTCACAAGTTTAGAAACTGTCAGGGTAAACATTTTTGTAGCAAGAGTATGGAACTTTTGGAAAAATCTGTCAGTGTGTGTTGTGACGGCACCGAGTGTGAGCGCATTAAGACCAGACTTGACCAACACTGGAGCAGGTACAGATGGCTTGTACATATGGTCATGCCACTGTTGGTGTCGTGGTAGTAATGACCAATATAGATAAATGTACATATCGTCTATCTATAGTTTAGGGACTATAGTATCTTATTACCAGTGTTGGGACTTTTAACTTGTGAACTTGAATTTAGTCTCATATACCAAGTCGTATTTCCCTTTAGAAAATATTACAGGTTTAGTATTTGTACTTATGTAAATACGCACCGGTATCATTGTATGCATATTTCTTCGAGGTATATTTGCTGTGTCGGCCTTTAAATATTATTATTATTATTATTTTTATTATTATTATTATTATTATTATTATTATTATTATTATTATTATTATTATTATTATTATTATTATTATTATTATTAAGTATTCCAAGTTTTTGTCATTTGTTTTAATATTTGTAGCGATTAATACCATCATTATGAATATATTGTTTAAGAAAAAATTTGGGACAATGTTAGTTTATAAGTGATATTTTAGGAAACGTTTTACTGTAGCTGTTTTAATTTGGTAAAATACAATAGAAAATGTATAACTAATAAATGTTTCAGTTCATTATAATATAAATGTAATATAAAAACTAAAATATGATAATTATAAAACAAAAATTTCACTAAATCTGATTATATATGGATAAATTTTCAGTACTAATCTTTGAACACATTATATTAACTGCTACATTATAGTTCTAGTTTACATAACAAAGTTTGTGATCAAGTTGTTCTACATATGCTGTAGTAATCTCTTCCTTAGGTAACACTAGTCCCACTCAACCAAGGGTGTTTCAGGGTGCTTCAGTAGCTGCCAAAAGGAATATCTCCACAAGATCTTTACACTGTAGCCAAGGAACCTCACACACCTGCCATGGGGCGCTCCAGCAACAGTCATAAGGTCCGCTCTTATTATATAATCTCTCGGGTGTTCTCAATGGGGTCTGCATCACACAGCTTGCTCAGTCAACTCCACACCTCTTAACACGTTGCTGAATATACACCAGCATTCGGATACGCTACGAGCTTCAACTATTAATGAACTCAGACGACGACAAACTAACCCAATTTAACATTATCCAAGTTAATCTTCTTAGAAATTGTTCATATCGTTCGAAAAATTCAGTTAAAAATTATCCTAACCAAAAAATCTAAATGAAACCGAAGATATCCTAGCCAAACAGAACATGTATCCTAGCCAAACCGAAAATATCCTCCCCAAACCGAAAATATCCTCCCCAAACCGAAAATATCCTCCCCAAACCGAACATTACCTCCCCAAACCGAACATTACTTCCCCAAACCGAACAATACCTCCCCAAACCGAACATGACCTCCCCAAACCGTATCTACAACAAGCCAAACTCAACCAAACCAAATGCAACTTAAGGACAGTGCCAATACAACACACTGAGCACTACCCCTTCAGTACACAAGAAAGCGATATGACCGACAGTACACCCGACTCCCTGTACTTCCCCAATTGTAAAGTTAGGCAACCATTCGCAGCTGAGGGATCTGATGAGATAACCCGCCCGCGAACTGAGCAACCTGAAGTGTTATGTCCACTCGGCCTCTGAACCCATGAACGTAAATAGCCTTAGTTGATAAATGATGAATAGGGGTGTTGAAGGAGGTGTGAGGGCCGTGTGTGCCTCTCTGTCTCCCGCCTCAAGGAGCTCTCTAACACCTTCAACTGCCACACACCACCACCATGACGGCCAACATCTTCTGTTACACACACTATCACACTTCACACTCAGGTTAATTAACAAGGAAAGCATAAAAATAAAGTACGTGTCAATAATATATGTATGACATTATTTTTTGGTTCATGAACTTTGGATATGAATATGTGTTATGGTGGTGTTGTGGCAGCCTTCTAACAGCTGGTGCTCCGTCACAATGCTCGAGACCACGGCAGTGTGAGTTTATAACACCATGCTATAAATACGGGTACGCCTCGAGCCTTCACAAGCACATTAACGGGACCTGTCTTACGTGCTCAGTGAAAGCTAAAAATTTATACAGAAAAGTTATCTAGTAATTCTCATTACTTGTGAGTTTCTTGACCACTGTGACTACATCCGTGTAGGTGGTCAGTGGCACTTAACTGGTGTACCCGCGAAGCGCCTTCCTCTGCTGCCAACATCAGGTAAGCATTATCATAGGAAATACCTATTACTTGCCTAGTCCATATATATATATATATATATATATATATATATATATATATATATATATATATATATATATATATATATATATATATATATATATATATACAATTACAGTCAACCAGCGTAACCAGGCATTTCACGAAGTGACTGAAAATTTTTAATGCCCGAGATGAATGTTTCAGGCATGTTAGATTAGATTAGCTAAGCTTAGAGGGGTTAGGGTTATGTTAGGTTCAAATAGATTAAGTTTGGTTCTAACCTAATCTAACTTAGAAAAATTGTTTCACTCAAGTAAAGCGAGGTTAGGACCTAACCTAACCTAACCTGCATGAAACATTCATTTTATTAATTGACTAAAGTTTTTCCGTTATATACTATCCAACACCTACGGGGGTTGAGAAGTGCTAGATAAAGGAATTTTCCTGTTAGTTGAACCTCACCTTTAGTATCTTCTACTACATCCTACAGTGCACAGTGTTACAGCTGACCTCGTAAATTCGTGTCTCAGAAGTCCGTTTTTCCGTAACCCCGTACATTTTCATGAGTGTTCCCCAAATACCGCGTTCTTCGCTTGTCTGCTCGTATGCGAAAAAAAAGAAAATCTTGAAATTTAATCGCTCACAAAACTGCACGGATTTGGGGATTACACTGACTTCTTTAACAGTTATTCCACTCACTGTAAACGATGTAGCTTATAAATAAAGAAAACAATATTAAGCTATAAAATAAGACAAATGAAGAGCATGGGTGTCATTGTGTGGGAAGTGATCATGTGTGTGTGGAGGCGATGGACTGCAACTGCGTCGGTGACAGGCCCGCCAAGCCGCCTCGGATATTCTTACATGTAATTAAACTATAAAAAATTGAGGAACAAATATTTATTATACTTTAATATGACTTATAAATAAATAAAATATAATATAAAATAATAAAATAAGATAAAATGAAGAGCATGGGTGTGCAATATGTGTGTTGAGGCATTAAAGGGTTACACATATCCATTGAATCGCTCAGGGACAGTGTAGGGAGAGGTTGACTTTGTGTAATGTTGGTTATTGAGAACTACATCTGTCTTAAAGATGTTCATAATAAAAACATTTACTTTGATAAAAAAACAAATGAGATAATAATTTAGCTCAAAGGGAATAAATAGTGTTTAAGAAATACACATTGAATTGCTTAAATATTTTCATTAGACATTTTTTATACTGTAGTGATAAATAAAGTAACAATTTCGATAATTTATGAAAATGTTAATAATTTGTTACTCTAAAACCAGCAGTTTAAGTGTTGACTCATATATCATGTTGACTCATACATGTTGTTGACTCATACATGTTGACTCATACACCATGTTGACTCATACACCATGTTGACTCATACATGTTGTTGACTCATACATCATGTTGACTCATACATGTTGCTGACTCATACATGTTGTTGACTCATACATGTTGTTGACTCATACATCATGTTGACTCATACATGTTGCTGACTCATACATGTTGTTGACTCATACATGTTGTTGACTCATACATCATGTTGACTCATACATGTTGCTGACTCATACATGTTGTTGACTCATACATGTTGCTGACTCATACATGTTGTTGACTCATACATGTAGCTGACTCATACATCATGTTGATTCTTGTCGACTCATACATCTCGTTGATTCATACATCATGTTGACTTACCCATCATGTTATTAATCCTACCATCATGACAGTATCCAGGTCGTCTGTGATGGGTGGTGACCGAGTGTGGTTGAGGGGAGTCCTGGCGGTGATGCTGGTGTTGGTGGGTGGTGGTGGTGATGCTCGGACCACCACCACACCCCACCACCCCCGCCAACAGCTGCTACAGGAGAAAGAGATCACTCAGCAGCTGGCCCTCATAGATAAGCTTGTTGGTGTAATGCTTGACGCTACTGAGTGCGGTGATCGAAACAAGGTCGGACCAGAACAGCAGGAGAACACAACAGGTAAACAAATACACTATCACCATAATGAAGTGTGTGTGGGGAGTGCGTGTAGGGGTAGTGTGTGGGGGGCGGTGTTCTGCGGTGGGAGGGGTGCGTGTGGGTGGGGGGGGGTGCGTGTGGGTGGGGGAATGTGTGTGTGGTGCGGGTGAGTGTATCAGCCATGGGTGATGTTTCTTGACGTATGAAAAAAAAATGCAATTGTTCAACTGTGTGTAAGCCGTGCCAGGCAAGTGTGTAAGCCGTGCCGAGCAGCCGTGCCAAGGGTGTGTGAAACCGTGCCAGGCAGGTGTGCAAAGCGTGCAAGTGTGTAAACATGCCGGGCAAGTGTGAAGCCGTGTCAGCAGTGTGTGGCCTGAGCAGAGTGTGTAACCGTGCCAGGCGTGTGTAAGGCGTGCCAGGCAGGTGTGTAAGGCGTGCCGGGGGTGTGTAAGGCCGGAGCAGGGTGTGGGAATCGTGCCAGCCGAGTGTGGCAAGCTGGTACCGGCAGGGCAGGGTGTGTAAACCGTGCCAGGAGCAGGTGTAAGCAAGTGCCGAGGCAGTGTGTAAGCCGTGCCAGGCAGTGTGAACCGTGTCGGCAAATTTGTGAAACGTGCCGGGCAAAGTGTGTAAGCCGCCCAGCCGTGCCAGGCAGGTGTGTAAGGCGTGCCAGGCAGGTGTAAGCCATTGCAGGTGTGTAAGTCGTGGGCAGTAAGGCCATGCCAGGCAAGTGTGTAAGCCGTGCCAGGCAAGTGTGTAAGCCATGCCAGGTAGGCGTGTAAGCCATGCCAGGCAGGTGTGTAAGCCGTGCGAGGCAGGTGTGTAAGCGATGCCAGGCAGGTGTGTAAGCCGTGCCAGGCAGGTACTTATCAACAAAGCTGTTTATTAATGGAGTCTTTTCCCACTCAAGTTATTGCTTGTTATTCATTTCACAAGGACCCAGCCTGATGGTGGTGGTAATACACTTGGTCATAGACGAAACAGTTGACTGTTTCTGGCGATAACTATAAATGTTTCCAGGTTACACCATCTTTCGCAACGGTCGAGCCCTGAGCAGTCTCTGTGCTTTTACATAGAGAATATACGTAAGACCCTGTTGTACCTAACATTGGGTGTCCATCCACACCTACACGGACAGATTTACCTGGAGTAGTGAATCTTGATTAGTGTGGAGACATAGAGTGAACAAATATATTTAAAGTAGTGTGTGTGTGTGTGTGTGTGTGTGTGTGTGTGTGTGTGTGTGTGTGTGTGTGTGTGTGTGTGTGTGTGTGTGTGTGTGTGTGTGTGTGTGTGTGTGTGTGTGTGTGTGTGTGTACTACTACTACTACTACTACTACTACTACTACTACTACTACTACTACCACTGATAATAATAATAATAATAATAATAATAATAATAATAATAATAATAATAATAATAAGTAACGGTTTATTAAGAGAACATGGCAGGCGGAAGGTTAAAATATACAGTTGCATAATTGGGGAATGGGTCTCTTGATTGACAAATAATATACAAGTAACATAAGTGATACAAATATGATATATAATAACTAGGTGGGAAGAAGGTTATACAACAGGGCATTTCAACAAAATGTCTGTGCAAAAAGGTAAGATTGAGATTGACTGGGAGTGAATACACGAGTTCATTGCAAGTTGTTGATAATTTTTACAATGGTTGGGACTGGGCTGTTCTTGTAGCGATCAGTACGTGCTCGTGCTGGATGTGGTTGTGGTTTCGAACAGCAATTCGCGGAAGTGGAGTAGGAGGGAGAGAGAATAATCTTGCATGCCTCCTTTTTCTCGGTGTTTACGTTGTGTGGCATTTAGGGAGGAAGACCAGGCAGGGGAGGCATGGGTGAGCCTGGGAAGTATGAATGATGAGTAAGCACTGAGGAACTCGGGCGCAGGAACTCCGAGGGACTTCAGTCGACGGAGGAGGTGGAGACGAAAACTGGAGGATCTGACAACTATTCTGATATGTTTTCCAAATTAGTTCGTTATCTGTAGCGACGCCGAGCAGCTTATTGGAGTCCACAACTTGGAGTGTGTTGGGGCCTAAAGTAATGGAGGGAGGTGGGACAAGGTCGGAGGAGAAGTTGATGTGTATAACCATGGTGACATGGTTGTTTGCGGCCCAATATTGGAGACTGCTCAATAAATCCTGAAGGGCGGTGTAGTCGGGAGCAGAGTTGTTCACACTGATCCCAGTGGTGGAGTCGTCAACACATTTCCAGCGAGCACAGATCTCTCTTAGGGCATCATTGATTAGCATAAGGAAGCATAGTGGTCCCATCTTGGTGCCTTGCGGGACGCCACAGGTGAGTGACTGAAAGGTGGAGACAGCCCCTCGGAAGCGTACGGCTTGGCGTCGATCACTGAGGAAGTCTGTAAGCCATGGTATAAGACTTCTTCGAAACCCGAGGTCGATAGCTTTGTTGGTGATTAAATTGTGGTCGATTAGGCCAAATGCTTTGGTGAAGTCAATGAAGGCGACAGCCACAGACGTCTTTCGGTTTTTCCAGATGGCGGTATATGTAGTCGAGAAAGCTGACAAGACAGTGAGAGGTGGAGGAAGTTTTCATATTGCCAAATTGCTGGGGATCTATGGTGCCTGCAATATAAGCATAAGTCCAGTCAAACACGAAACTTTCGCAGATTAAGCTGGGTATTGGGGTGATGGCAATGAGTTGTAGCTCATTTAAGGATTGTGGGCTGGTTGACATGGGCACTGGTGACACATAGGAGGTCTTCCAGTCAGCTGGGCATTTTGCTTGGCTGAGGAAAGCATCAATGATGGAGCAGAGGGGCTTAGCTAGTTCCGGGGAGAACTCCCTGTAGAGTTTCATTGGTAAGTTAATGTCCAGACGTTTTGCTACTTCAAATTCTTCCAGTAAGTCAGTGGGAAAAGGGGCTGGTAGGTAAGCAGGGAGATTGGTTGTGTCAAGAGATAGGAAACGTAAGACTAGGGTGTGTTTTACTGGGGCTGGGATAGGGCATGTAGCTGAGAGGATGGATAGGGATTTGTCAGGGGAGGGTATCAAGCCAGTTGTGTGTCTTAGTGCAGGAGGCAACGACATAGGAAAGGTTAGGAGTGAGGAACTTTTAAGGAGGTATAGGGAGGCGCTGGGGAAGATAAGAGATAGGGGATTTAAGTTGGCGTGATTTTGTTTAAGGTGTAGAAGCTATCGCCAACACAACAACCACACCCTAAGTTAACGAGATACATGACCCAGTGTCAAGGAATAGTCTCAGAAGACTATACAACTCGCCAACTGAACTGACTAACCATTACCCCGGAACACGATCCGCAAATCGATTAACATCCAGGGTAGACTGCTGGGTAGACAGAAGCAAATGTCGACCTGTGGTTTAATGGTCAGCATGCTCGTCTCGCAAGTGAGCGGACACGGGTTCGATCCCCGGGCAGGGTGAAACTATCGGCAAGTTTCTTTACGCCCCCGCACTAGATGTAGCCCTCCACACCTGCAACATCTGTGGACGACCCTGCCAGTCCCGTATTGGCCTCTCCAATTACCTCAGAGCTTACCAACGAAGGTCACATGTGTTCTTAATAACTCATATCATTGTATCATGGCTGAATGATCGTCTTACTCGACTATGGGTGACAGCAAAGTAGTAGTAGTAGTAGTAGTAGTAGTAGTAGTAGTAGTGTGTGTGTGTGTGTGTGTGTGTGTGTGTGTGTGTGTGTGTGTGTGTGTGTGTTTTTCCTCTGTTTCCACACAGCCAAGTCTTACATTTACACTTTTTCTTCAGTAACTCCTCATCAGCATCTTAGTGACAACAGTGAACAACAGATCAACACACGGAATTATTTTGGCAGTTAGGAAGTGTTTAGTTGATATATTATTGACAGTAATTACGCAGTATCTGGTTTGTGACGTCAAGCATGATGTAGATACCAGTTAGTTGTAGACATAGATATTTATTTGTTTTGTTTTAATTTAGCAGCAAGTCCGCAATCAACAAAAGATCCGCAATCAACAAAAGATCCGCAATCAACAAAAGATCCGCAATCAACAAAAGATCCGCAATCAACAAAAGATCCACAATCAACAAAAGATCCACAATCAACAAAAGATCCGCAATCAACAAAAGATCCGCAATCAACAAAAGATCCGCAATCAACAAAAGATCCGCCACCAACAAAAGATCCATCAGACTGTCAGTACTCGGAGTTCAGCCCCACCCATACGATGCTCAAGACTCAGAACACAGAATGCGAGATACACAAGACGGGACTATCAGCCGAGGAGAAGGAACTGATACTGACATTACACAATGATCTGCGAGCCAAGGTCAGTCTCTCTCTCTCTCTCTCTCTCTCTCTCTCTCTCTCTCTCTCTCTCTCTCTCTCTCTCTGTGTTTCTATGGTTCATAATTATCAGGTTCTTATGTGCATCTACGACATATTTATTCACTGTCTCTCACTCCCCTGGGCAGGTGGCGAGGGGCGAGGAGACCCGAGGCAGCCCAGGACCACAACCACCTGCAGCCAACATGCAACAGCTGGTGTGGAACGACGAGTTGGCTCAGGTGGCACAGGTATGAATCTCTCTTTCTCACACCTGTCTGTCCAAACACAATACCTGTCTCATGTACCATTAACGTATTTGGAGTGTTCCTGATGCAGGCGTGGGCGTCGCAGTGTCCGAACGGCCACGACTCTGCCAAGGAGCGAGCCATGTGCACCAGGGACTATTACGTCGGCCAGAACATCCACTACTACTGGGGCTTCGACGAGAATCCCGTAAGTCTCGAGTGCATCATTTGTCGTCCTACTTACTGCTGAGATTATTTTTTTCATTCATTTTTTCATCGTTTTTCTTTACGTCGTTTTCCTTTGACTTGTTGTTCTATGACAGGTTTTACATCTTCTATAATCCTCTACTTTCACTACACCTCTACAACACGTGGGTCATCATCTGGTTCAGTTCTCTTCGGGGGGAGGCGTTATGTCATCAACTTATATGTTTTGTTTTGTTTTGTCTTTTGTTTTGTCTTGTCTTGTTTTTTGTTTTGTTTTTGTTTTTTGTTTTATTTTCACAATGTTCCTTATTCCTATATAAATTATGTTTCCTATAATCAAAGATCAATCGGTCTCGTTACTGTTGTTAATGCAGTGTTCGTTCCCCATCCCTTCCATACCCCAACCTTTCCATACCCCATCCCTTCCATATCCCAGCCCTTCCATATCCCATCCCTTCCATATCCTACCCCTTCCTTACCCCATCCCTTCCCAAGTAAAGTAATGTCTGATAAAATTACTTCACTCTTTGAAGGTGACCATCTATAGGCAGTGAGATGACGGAGAAAGTTATTCATTATTTGCCTGTTTTCCACACAACAGTTGGCGGCAACCTTGTTTAGTATCTTCACTTACAGTCACGGCTGAGGGAAGTGGTGTAGTGTCCCGGTTATTTGATCCAGTGTAGTTAAGATGTTTTGTCTCTCTTGGTCCTTCATATGATTGCCTGCGTCACATCTGTCATATATATATAACATCTACTCGGTCACAGTGAACATCGAGCAAAGGTAAAGTGGTGTTCTCGCTGAGCTCACATGGTGCAGAAACGTAGCCCCTCAACATATGTACCCTGGCCCTGGCTACTGTGTCTCCTGGTCAGCGTCCTGATCCAGCCCATTATACAACGTACAGTACTCTTGGTAGATGTTCTTGGTGTGTCATCCTCATACACCAAGTAGTAAGGAACTAAAGTAAATTCGAAATTGAATACTTTTCTCAAGTCAACTTCCTTGGCCTAGCTGCTATGATTGATCTGCTCCCTGTCAGCATTCAGTTGCATCACCTGTGCAGCTGTACTAGTTTTCTTCTTAGCAGAACAGAGTGAGTGGTGAATGGATTGATCTTCATCTTGTGGAAGGGCTCGCAGAATATAATACTTCCCTCCTGAAGCTGTGTATCCACAAAAATGTTCATTGTCATATTTCCATTAGCCTTTATTGACCATCTGAGGCGATAACTTCAGTAGCCAGTTTGACCAGACCAACTTCCTCCCCACTAAAGGATCTATCATTTGGTTGTGTACATTACTCAGTCATAATGGTGCAACCTCATGAATTAGCAACACAACATTAAGTATTGGAAGACGCTAACAATATCGGTTCAGATATAAGGTGCTAATTATACACAAATGAAATATCTGAGGTCATAATCATTGCCGTTTTTGCACAAATAGGAGTTGAAAAAACCACCAGAAATCTTTGTGTGTATACCTACAAGGTGACACCCACACTTTTACTATTACAGTATTAGCTTTCATATGATACCAGATGTCCAATATTATAGAGCTGATGCTGTGAAACCAATTGTTACCATCCCAGCTCTCTGACTAACAGTTCAATAACAGGTGATTATCTGGGCAGAACTGGAAGAAAGCAGTGCATGATTGGTACGAAGAGGTGGTTGACATGCCCAACAGTTTTGCTGCCTCCTTCCAGCTCCACAAGACGAAGAAAATTGGTCATTATACCCAAGTAAGTGAACCTCTTGATGTGCTTTCTCATTAATACTTTTGATCTACCGAGGTTCTGATTTTCTTGGCATATATATTTCACCTGATGATTAAATACCCAAACACTACCTGTGGGTTAGGTTAGGTTAGCATTAAGATAGTTAATCGTCAGGTGAAATACACTGGACTGGGCTAATATTCAGGTGATTCTTAATATCAGGCTACAATAAGTTCCCTAGACATTAAGGAAATCTGATGTAAACCTCCTGATGGTGGCCGTCCTGCAGGTGGTGTGGGCCGACACAAACGAGGTGGGCTGTGGCTTGGTGTACTACGAGGTGGAGCTGAAGGGTAAACTCTTCCCAGAGAGCAAGATTTATGTGTGTAACTACGGGGCGGCAGGTAACGTGAGGAGCAGGCCAATGTATGCTGAGGGACCCGCTGTCTCCAAATGCCCTGGTGATGTCTCCTCCACCTACCCGGACCTGTGTGTCTAGACCTGTCATGAGGGACCTGTGTGTGTGTGTCTAGACCTATCATGAGGGACCTGTATGTGTCTAGACCTATCATGAGGGACCTGTATGTGTCTAGACCTATCAAGAGGGACCTGTGTGTGTGTCTAGACCTATCATGAGGGACCTGTGTGTGTGTGTCTAGACCTGTCATGAGGGACCTGTGTGTGTGTGTCTAGACCTTTCATGAGGGTGTGTGTGTCTAGACCTGTCATGAGGACCTGTGTGTGTGTGTGTCTACCTGTCATGAGGGACCTGTGTGTGTGTGTGTCTAGACCTATCAAGAGGGACTTGTGTGTGTGTCTAGACCATCATGAGGACCTGTGTGTGTCTAGACCTATCATGAGGGACCTGTGTGTGTGTCTAGACCTATCATGAGGGACCTGTGTGTGTTTGTGTCTAGACCTATCATGTGGGACCTGTATGTGTCTAGACCTATCATGAGGGACCTGTGTGTGTTTGTGTCTAGACCTATCATGTGGGACCTGTATGTGTCTAGACCTATCATGAGGGACCTGTGTGTGTGTCTAGACCTATCATGAGGGACCTGTGTGTGTTTGTGTCTAGACTTATCATGAGGGACCTGTGTGTGTGTGTGTCTAGACCTATCATGAGGGACCTGTGTGTGTGTGTGTGTGTAGACCTGTCATGAGGGACCTGTGGACCTGTGTATCTAGATCAGTGACGGCTGTAGACATGTCGCCTAATACGTAATTTGAAATCTCACTCTGTATCAGTTATATACACGACCAGCGTGACCTACAGTACTATAAAGTTCTTACAGATATAGAGGACGCGTGGGCACCACCTTTGAACACCTCCTATAAGCAGTGGTTGTCATTTCTGTGTAAGGGATGTATCATATATAGAGTGTATTGGTACTACAAGCCTGCAACTTAACATGTCAGTTCGATCGTTTAGTGTCACTTTCTTCCGTCTGTTTATATTGTGAAGTTTAAGTTGCAGAAAGTTGTTGTAGTAAACTTATAGATATCGTCTAGTTTATGATTTCAAAGTCTAATTAGTGTATAATGAGGTAATACGATAACCACCTATAGTTTATTTTATCTTGCAGCTTACTTACCAAAGGTTTATGACAGACAGTGAAAACAGCGTCGCTGAATGATAATATTTATCCAACTAGCTGCATTTGTGTTCCGTCATGAATGCAGAAGGCAAAATGTACGTTATTTGAGAAGTACCACGAACATGGCTCCTAAGTCATTTTTTAGTCATGTTCTTTTTATCACACAATAAGAACAAATGAATCCTAACCGAGGTACCCTTGAAAACTTCGGGTAATTTCCTTTAGGGTAGCACAGCTTTTGATGATCTGCCTCTTCTAAAAAGTTATGGTTTCAGTGATCTTGCTCGTGGTACTTTTCGAACATTAATTTGCATGTGGACGAAACTCATCAACCCAGCTTAGAATGTAAACAAAGTGGGCTCTGTAGGGCGAGATGCTTCTTTTGTTTACTGTTTTCTTCAATATTAAGATCTGTTCTGTATCTTAGCACAGTATATCTCTCATAGCTTACAGTATGTTCAGTTTGACTCACATCTCTTAGTTCAAATTCTCTCCGTTTAAGTACAGTATCAGGTCGGTGAGGTCCATCTATAAAATGTATTATGTATTTTTTTATCAGTATTTTTCATTGTATCATTTTATTCGTTATTATCAATATATTGAGTTGTGTTTTATGTCTTGAGGCTTTTCCATCTAAAAAGTCAACTGTAATGAAATATAGTAACTTGTTGCAAGACGTCACTTAAAATAAACGGCGTAGATTTTTACCTTGGAGTTTCTTTCATATACAGTATATGTGAGTATTGATGTATATGCTCTATACACAACACTAAGGTGGATCTTAATCAATCAAAAGTGCTATCCTTCTATCTGAGGGTTGGCGACCACAGTCCTCCACTCCACAATAACCTCGTCAAGGCTGTCATGAACATTGTTACTTTCTCCAAAGGTCACACACATCAAAGGTCACACACATCAAAGGTCACACACATGAAAACAATCCCTTAGGTTCTGTAAATATAAAGCTAAATCTAATGCCAACCAAGAGACGTAAATTAACCCAAAAAGATGGAAAACTTAATTCCAAGTCAACTAAGCTAGAAAAGAGAAGCCATTGCAGGTATAAGTAAAAATAACGACAAATCATCATACTGTACATAACAGAAGCCTATACAGTAATCAGTTTGTTAAAGGTTAGTACAGTAAGGTGACCTGTGTCGAGACTCTTAGGTTGCGATTACACCAAACGAGTCGAGCCGAGTCGAGTCTAATCGAGTCAAGATGACTCATGACTATATATGACTAGCAATTCCAGTTCACATAAGTTTATATGTATTTTTGCAGAAACCGTCCACACCGGGAGAGTTGAGTCGAGTTGTGTCACGCCAAATAGAGTCGAGCTGAGCCACGCCAAATAGAGTCGTGTTGAGTCACGCCAAGTAGAGTCGAGCTGTGTCACGCCAAGTAGAGTCGTGCTGAGTCACGCCAAGTAGAGTCGAGCTGAGTCACGCCTGACCCATTTATTCGTCAGTCATCGCGAGTCAGTTGTGGTGTGAACAGCATCATCAGGTAGTTCGGGAGCGTCCTGCTCTCTATACTTCTTCAAGTTATCAGTTGCCACCCTCAAGAAATTGTAGCATTTGTCGTCTGGATGGTTCACCAAGTTTGGCAATAAATAACTAAAGGCACCAAAATCTGGTCTTTTGGTGTTGACATCATGTACCCACATTCAGTTTCTCCTCCTCCTCCTACGTCGCCAAACCCACAATTGACCATATAATTCAACGAGAGAATTTGTGTTCATATACTGCTCGTTTTGACTCTTTCGGTGTGAACGGGAATGAGTCAATTTGACTCGAGTTAAATGACTAATGATTCAACTCGACTCGTTTGGTATAAACACAGCCTTACACGGGCGCTTGTTATTGCCGTAAAACACCTGTTGGAGAGTGAATTACGTTCCTCTAATGAGTGTTTTGTGTTTGTATAACATACAGGCTGGTGGTAGTGTAATACTCTCGTGTGTGTTGGTGTACACTCGCTCCAAGAGGCATCTTCACTGGGGGGAGTCCGATTAATTTCAAAATGAACACCGTGACCTCTGTTGCCTCAGTAGGGTTGTCAAAATCCTTCGTCCTTTGTCATATTGTCTCACGAAATCGTAAATATAATTTTTGGAGCGAGTGAACCTTTGTGAGAAAGAAGTGACTACTTTTGATGAAAATTATTGTTTGATTCATAATGTTAGAAAGAAAAGTTCAGTCCCAGCCTGACCAATCTCGTCTGCTTTTGTTTTGTTTTTTTCAATTTCAGGATGGTAACCATGTGTTAGGGAGTCAGGGCAGTGCTGCAGTCTGTGGCCGATCACTGATTAGTTTAGGAGTAAAAATTTGTTGATCACATAACTATAAGAGTAATAGTTATTTCAGTAAGTCTGTGGTGTGTTACGACTGTAAGAAGTCTGACCATCTGATTGCAGAGTGTCCCAAGAAGCGGAAGAACCAGTACACTAGAGGTAATATAAAAGCAATGTTAAGTTAGCTTGTGCCGTGGCAGATACTGTTAACCCACTGAGTTCTGGAGAATCAGTGTATAAGGACATTCAGTTGTTGCACGTGTGGAGGGTTACATCTAGTGCGGGAGGGGCGGCGGTGGCGTGGGACTACAGTGTGTTAGTTACCTGTATATTTAAAAGATTTAAGTTAATTGGTCACTCTGAAACACTAAATTGTTATAATGGAAAGCGACTTGTTGATGGTGACTGAAGGTTGATGATGTGTTCCTGAAGAAGACTCTACAGTGCTGTTGGTGGTGAAGATCAGCACTACTTCACGCCAGCGTTTTGGTCTACAGGGGTTAAGATTGAACAGATGGTTATCATGTAGGCTAATTATCTGTGGCATTAGCGAGGTCAAGAGCCCCTCGGGACCACCCAGCCCAGGTAACCTCACATTCCTTTTATTGACCAAAAATAAAAGAAGACAAAGACCAAGAACCCGACTGCGAAGATGATACGTGAATACCACAAGACTACAGCGGTGTACAGGGGTCTTGACACCATGTGGACTCTTTGAGGTAAGAATGTATCCGAACACCGTTGGTTCGGCAGCCACCAGGTGTGTCGTGAGGCTGGTGCTGGATGTTGGCCTCTCGAGCTACTGGTGTACAGGTGTGTGAAGATGATGAAGGTCAGGTAAACCATAGCGAAGATGTACCAGGTATCTGACTGGGTGTTGTAGGACGTCCCGGGGAGGTCAGTCAGGGAGTCTGTGTACAAAGCCACAAGTACCAAGAGTGTGGTGAGGCTCATGGTGCCGCGGTCGTTGAAGGGCTCCACCGGGAGGTAAAGTGTACCATAGCCAATAGCCATGAGGAGGGTTGTGGGCAAGTAGGTGTCCCAGATGTACTGCTCGGTGCGCCTCTCTAGTACTATAGTTACCATGTTGATGTTCTTGTCTCCATCGACAATGAGTGAAATGTTATCAACAATGTATTCATCCAACTCTTGTTTTCCTATGTATTGTGCTTGGGACTCGTCAGTGAAAACTACGCTACCACTGTTGATGTTAGTGATAGTGATGTTAAAACTGCAGGTTTGGACATCCCAGGGAAACAACAGCAGGTCGAAGCTGCACCTCACTACGGGCTGCATCTGCACCAGCTTGTGGATGGGGTTGTCGCAGCCCTCAAATATCATATCTGCAAGTTTATGAAAAAGGTCAGTTACTGTGAAATGGTCGTTTAAAACTTTATTCAACCTATACGGACGCGAATTTCCGAAAATATCTATTGTTATTTTTTATTCTGATAAATATAACACTAAATTATATGTAAACGAAAAATAGAGACTATGGATGAAATAAGGCTTTATAATGGTGGACCAGACCAAGGCTTTATAATGGTGGACCAGACCAAGGCTTTATTATGGTGGACCAGACCAAGGCTTTATAATGGTGGACCAGACCAAGGCTTTATTATGGTGGACCAGACCAAGGCTTTATTATGGTGGACCAGGACCAGACCAAGGCTTTATTATGGTGGACCAGACCAAGGCTTC